ACCATCACTGTCGCAAAAACAAACAAAAAACAGTCTTATAACCCTTGGATCTGACACCTTTCAGATTACCTCAAAAAGCACTGTTTTCATTGAATCTCCTCCTTTGGATTGAAGTGGTAAATCCCAGACTCGTCCCCAGTTATAATTTCTTCCATAAAATTGTCTTTATTAGCCTCGAGCTTAATGGCCATATCCAATCTGTGAGCTAGCTGATCCTTTCATAATGTTTTTGACGCCCTTAGAGCCAATAGCTTGCTGGGGCCAAAATATTCACTTAAATTTGAAAATATTGAAATCCCAATGTCTGCAGCTTTCAGTCAATGGTAATTCTGTGGTCTTCCTCCACACGTTTTTGGACTTCAGCCAGTTCATTCCTCCTGGTTGGTGGTGATCAGTCTCTTGGCTCATCTTTGAGGTCGTCCTTACCTTACTTAAAATGATGAATCTACTATTATTATATGTGGAACAGAATTCACATAAACTTACTCCACAGCTTCAATAATTTGGGAAGATGTCCACATGAGTTTTGTAAAAAAAGTCGATATTAGCCCAGATCTCAAAATGTTTCTTCCCATGGTACAATGATTATCTTTTTCTGTTTGTTTTTTGAAGGTGCCTTAATGAGACTATGTCAGTCTGGGTAGACTAGAGAAACAAATTCGTAAACATGCATATGTGTATAAGAAAGAGGTTTGTATATGAGAGCAGTTGAATATTCAGAAAAGAGCCCAGTCCAGATCAAGTCCATAAGTCTGATTTTAGCCCGTATGTCTGACACCAATTTATAAAGTCTTCTCCAGACTCACAAAACACATGCAATGACGCCGAGTGCAGGACAATCACAGGCCAGTGGGTAGAAAGTCTTTGGATCCAGTGGTGTTGTAAGCATCTCAGCTCTGGCAGGGGCCTCCATGTGGCTCCCCCAGGTCCCAGGGCTGGGGTCTGTCAGTGTACTGCCATGTGTCTTGTCAGTAAAGTGTCTCTCAGGGAGTAAGCAGAGAGAGAATGTGTCTTCCTCCTCCAAGGAGGAAAATCAGAAATTCCCAGAATTCTCAGGAGAAGGCCATGCCCACACAGAGCCCTCACTGGCTATGATCCCATTGACAGACTAGGCTCCACCGCTTCCCTCTTAATCCTCTCCGGTCCCAAATTGACACCAGACTGTGTAACTACCACAGAGACTAAAACAAGTCTGTTGCTGAGAGAACTTGTCGGCATGTCTATAGCCATCTACTGGCTATTCAACTCTACCCATTCAACTTAGTGGCAATGATTTGGTTTGGTTTGGGATCCATGGTTCAAAATGTTTTGCATATATGAATTGGTACCTTAGTAGCAATCATTTTTCACTTATCCAAATCTGTGTTTATGTGTATTATGTGAAAAATCATACATAAAATAAAGCCCCAGCAGGCACAGCAATGTACACTCCAAGATGCAATCAAACACCTCCTAGGATTGGATTACTGGGCTTGAGAACATGGGACCCTAGTCTCAGGTGGAGAGGGAAAAACAGTTAGTTAGCATAGCATGGATCAGAAAGATGATGTCTACATCCTTATTTGATGATAGTGTTGGGGGTTTCCAAAGCTTGTGGGTGGCCACCAAAGGTACAACTATTGATCTTGTGCATCTGGAGCAAAAGAGACAACAAACACTTACCAGAAGAACTAGATGGAGCTTGGCTCCCATTACTCACTGTTCCAACCAGGGACACAAGAAATAGTCCTGGATCCCAAACCAAACCAAACTCATTGTCACGGAGTTGAATGGGTAGAAAGTGTAGAGCCAAACTCAAATGCTATAAAAAGGCCAGACTTATTGGACCGGTAGAAATACCTTTAAATTTAGAATGTAAACCACTCCTGGAGGCCACTGTCACCCCAAAGACAGAGTAATGATAGATAAATATATGTATGTGGCATATAGTTATATATGCAGTTATTGCTGTCTAGTTATAAATACATATCTCTCTTATGAGTACTGTATTCTCCTAAACATTCATTTAATGAGATCTAATCGTCACCTTTTATCTGAGACCAAAGATGAGGAGGTGGTGGGAGTGGAGGACCAGAGGCTAGGTCAGTAAAGCAGAACAACTAGGCCGGAAATAATGAGAATGCTGGCCCATTTTGAAAAGTATAACAATCGGTGTCACTGGGTCACCCTCAAATGGATAAAAATTGTTCTGTGAAAATTAAATTTGCTATGTAAGCTTTCTCCAAAATCACATTTTAAAAAAACCTCACAATGTGGAGAAAATAAAATCAGAGCCCCACTATATCATATTAACAAAAAAACTCCCAATGGATTGAAGAACTGACTGTGAAAAGCAAACCCCAATGCGAATAGACAAGTACATCAGAGACTATATCCTCTCAGCTTTTTTAGACAAGAACAGAAAAGTACAACCCATCAGAGAGAAATTGATGGATTTCATTAGAGCCAAGTTATTTCTCTCAAATAAAGAATAACTTTGACAGAAAAGAAAATATTTCTAAGTGACGAGGGATTCAACTCTTGAAATTCCTATAAATCAGCAGAGAGAGAGAGAGAATCAAATGAGAAACGTGGCAGATTCTACAGAAGGAGAACCCTGATAAATGATGCAGAGATAGTGCAGTTTATGGTATGACTTTATAATGATCCGATTGGAAGCAATGGGCAAGCCCAGTAGTAACAAGTACCAGTGAGGCTGTAGGATAAATGAAAGAGTTGGAGTGACTTGATTCTTTTTTACTGGTTTTCTTAAAAAACAGGACTTAAAAAAAAGAAACAAGTACAAAATGGGTAGAATGATTTTCTTTGAAGACGAATGGGATAATTCAGACAAGGCCCTTGACGCCATGTCTAGCACATTTCAAAACACAAAAAACAACCCTGTTGCCATCAAGCACGTTCCAATCCCTGGGTTACAAGGCAGAGCTGTGCTCAGTAGGATTTTCCCCATCATCTTTACAAAGGAAGTGCCCCTGGGTGAGTTAGGCTTTGAGGTGAGTCTGACTTCCAGGTTAGCAGTCGAGGATGAACTGCTAGTGCCACCATCCAGGTGCCACCTAGCGCATACTACGCACTAAGTAAATGTTCCCTATTCATTTCATTGGCACCCCTCACTCCCTGCCATTGAGTCAATTCTGACCCAGAGCAACACTCCAGGACCGAGTAGAACCCCCTTTTTGTTTGCAAGCTGTACAGCTCTGTGGGAGCCCACAGCCTCATCTTTCTCCCCTTGGCACCCCGGAGTCATGCTCACGGATAAGCACTGAGCCCCTAACTGAAATCCACCCAGAGAAAGACCTTGTGTGAGTCACTCCCACCAAACCAGCCGGTGAACACCCCATGGAGCATCGACCTGCTCTGCTTCACCAAGCTGTTGCCATTGACCTGGTCCGACTCATCGGGACTCCGAGGACAGAGGGGAGCTGCCCCCCAAGATGTCCAGGGCTGTCATCTTGATGCAAGCCAACGGATGTCTCTTTCTCCCTGGGTGCATTCAAGCTCATCAATCGGAGTTGGAACTGAAGACCATTTGGATTTAGATAATTTCCCCCAAAGACCCAAAAGATTCCACTATGTGCCGTGGTCCTATTAGATGGGAAGGCAGCTTTGGCAGCAGACTCAACAGCCAGCAGGCAGGGGCATTGCTGGAACGGCCCCAGGGCCTGGTGCCGGCTACTCGGTTTTTTGCAGTGTCTTGAAAAACTAGGATAGTTAACTTGGGAGAACACCAATACATAAATATGGAGCACAAATTCAGGACATAGAGAATGCCTAAGTAAAAAGTGCTATGAAGCTGGGAGACTTTATGTACTTTCCTCCAAAGGGATGTTTTCTTTTAATATTTTAATTTTGCATGATAAAATGGTAGCTGAATGGCCAAGTCTGGCTAACTAAAGAGTGTTGGCTCTGGATTGTGCCTCCTCCATCCTCCCTCTCTTCCCCTGAAGAAGTGGGACGCAGGTTGTTTTAGCTAAATAAGCAAGATCATCACCTAGTGGCCACTTCCTCAAAGTGCTGACTCAAGATCCAGGGTCCCAAGGAGCAGAGGCGAGGATGTGTCCAATCCTTGTCCTCAGAGGATGCGAATTCAAACAAGCACTGACTGGGCCTCTGTGCCAGACACTACTCTGGCATTTGTGGATAAAGAGCTGCTAAGGCAATAATGACCCGTTTACAAATCAATGTAAGGGCACGTCAGCTCAGGAACTCCCAAATGGACAGTGCGTGTTAATGTGTTGGTTTTCCCTTGGTTTTCCATAGATCATAGACGAAGAAGAAACGCAGTTCATGAGTAACTGCCCCGTGGCTGTGACCGAGAGCACGCCCCGCAGGAGGACTCGGATCCAGGTGTTTTGGATCGCGCCACCCATGGGAACAGGCTGTGTCATTCTAAAGTAAGTCGCGGCGACATCTCGGTAGCCCCTCTGTTTCCCTTCTCTGGTGCTGATCACAGGCTTCGTGATGTAGTTGCAGAAAAGGAAGTGGCTTTCCTGGGGGTGCGAGGGTCTTTCGCTGGTGCTCAGGTGTTCTAACGTGGATAAATGCGAGGAACAAATTCGGGGCCATTGTCTGGTTGGCCAGTGCTGCTGTAACAGAAGCGGCACCTGGGAGTGGCTTGCAAGACCAGAAAGGTATTTTCTCATCGTGTAGGAGTTGGAAAGTCCAAGCTGAGGGCATTAGCTATAAGGAAAGCCTGTGGCGGGTGGGCGGGAATCCTTGCCTCGGTTTCTGTAGCCCACCATCCTGGCAGGTTCTGGACTTGTAGACTGGTCTACAACTTGCTGAATCTTTCTTTTCCTGGCTATCTTCCAAGGGGTGATGAGCCTAAGGTAGCTCCCATGAAAATTATGAACCAGGAAAGCTTTAACGTCCTCCTCCTGGAATTGGACACTTTTTCTTTTCTCGAAATGCTCAATGGTTTTAAACTGTACCTAGACCGACCCCAGCCCAACAATAGCATCTACCAGGTCTAGACTCTGCTATGTGATCCTAGCTCCTTTCTCCATCAAAATGACCCTCTGTGCCACTTCCTATCGACCTTCCTCGTAGGATACAATAGAATTTGAGGTGTTCACTGGATCGTTGTTTCCCTGGGAAAGTTAACTTTGCACCAAACCTTGCATCTCCAAAATTGTATGTCAAAGAATGGTGCTCTGGAGGTGGGCAGCAAACAGCGTCTGTGGACAAATACCTTCAGGAAACACCGCCTCCTGTCTCCCACTCAGGCAGGCTCCCAACTCCCAACCTGTGAAAGGTTTTACCAAGGCCTGCCAAGAAGAAACCTTTGTCACTTTGCTTCACCTGGCCTTCCCCACAGCTTTGCCTACAGAGCTGCTTGTCGGTCTGGCTTCCCTTCTCCTGCCATCACATGGGACGTCATGGGTACCTCTCTCTTTTACTTTAACCCAAATGGAGTGTCCTGACTTGGATGCTTTGAGCAGTTTGATTAACCTTCCCCAGTTTGGGAAGCCCCTCGAGATCCACGTGAAAGAGATGTAAAGGCCTACATGCAGTGAGTCCCAGTTCCTGGACAGCTCAAATGGTCGCGTACTCAACTACTAACGACAAGGTTGGTGGTTCATACCCACCCAGAGAAACTTGGGAGATTAGTCGGGCCATCTGCTTTGGGGAACCCTGTGGAACACAGTTCTACTTTGCAGTTTGTGGGGTCCCCCTCTGTCAGAATAGATTGTATGGCTACTGGTTTCGGTTGTGTTGCTCACTGTTTTTTTGTTACAAAGAGAGGTTGGGAATTTCAGGATAGCCTAGTGGTTACACTAGCGACTGGGAGGTTTAAACTTCCAGCCTTTGGGGAGAGAGCTTCGGAACAACCACCAGCACTGAAAGCCCAAAATACAAACGGGCGGGGAGGAAGTGAGCAAACTCTGGGCATGAAGCTGCCGGCTGGTGGCTACAGTTGTGCTTTGTCTTCCAGGCTGGTTGCTGGGAAGTTGGGGTCAGAGTTCTATTGTCATGTGTGGTCTGACCATTGTTCCTTTAGGTTCAGAGGGTCTGCATGAAGACTGGGTTCTTAGCTGGGCTCTCCAGGACCCCCATCCCACCCATGGCAGTCCCTTCAGAGCCTGGGGTCTAAAGAAGAGCGTTTGAACCCTTCTGATCTGTGTGATGAATCTGCCTGCTCCAAAGCCCTACTCCCCCCGCCCGCCCCCAGCCTCGGTTCCTGCTTGTCTTTGGTTTGTTGTTCTCACAAACCAGAAGCATTTGATCTTCCAAGTGGAAGCTGGAAAGGCATCTCTTGTTTACCCGTTAACAATAAACATATGTGAACATATGTTTATGCCTTAACAACGAACACATGTGGCTTGTTTGTTCACTCGCTCTTTCGACAGATGTAACTGAGCCTCTGTTTGCACAGGCACCCAGGATATAGGGGCAACAGAGGTAGGTTCATCGTCCCGGGGGTTCTCACGAGTCAAATGGGGGAGAGAGGAAAGGTCAAGTCTCTCCCTCTGCCAGAGACTCAGCTGTGCATCTGACTCATGGTTCTCAACCTTCCTCCTGCCGCGACCCTTTCCTACAGTTCCTCTGGTGGTGGTGACCCCCAACCATAAAATTCTTTTCGTTGCTACTTTATCACTGTCATTTTGCTACTGTGATGAATCGGGGACTTCTGTGAAAGTGGTGTTCGACCCCCAAAGAAGTCGCAACCCACAGGTTGAGCACCGCTTATCTACCTTAACCTTCACAGGAAACTACCCCATTTTTCCGAAGAGTAGGCAGGTCTCAGGGCACGGGGCTTTCTTTTTGAAGTCACACATCCGTTTATCTCCCAAACTCCTGTTCTTTCTTTCATTTATTTTTTCTGTAGCTGTTAAATCTAAGCTACAATGATTCATTAAAGATATAAAATGTCATAGGTATGGCATAAATACATATCCGCATTGTCAAATATCAAACAATACAAAAAGAGTAAAACGCCCTGACACACTTGCCCCCCTCCAGTAAATCCCAGTCTCCTACCAGCAGGTCACAGTCTGGTGGGTACTTAGACTTTTCTCTGTGTGCTTACATGCATGTACATTAATAGAAAAGCACATCGTTTTTATTTTTCGGAGCATTTAAGTTAACACAAATGGTATCATGGTCTATGTAATGTCCAAAACTTGAGCCATTTCCCCCTTTTTAAAGAAAATGTTATTGTTTTAGATTTTCCAGTTCAGTAATATAAGGATCTACTTCATTCAAAAACAAAAACAGAAAAACCCTTGCCTTATCTATGACGTGAATGTATCACATTTATCCCACGGTTGGTGGACATTTAGATTATTTCCAATTTCTTTACAATTACAAATAATGCTACAATCTTGTACATGCGTCTGGGAACAAATATGCAAGTTTTGTGCATGGTAGTGCCCAAAACTGGGATCACAAGAGATGCACATTTATAATTTTCCTAGACACTGCCAGATTTTCTCTAGAACGCCTGCCAACTAAAACACCCTCTTTGACCGTGAACAAGAAAGCCTATTTCCTTACTCCCTCAACAGCCCTGGAGAGTATCCATCTTCAACATTCGGACAATCGCAGAGTTAATAGTGATATGGAGAATTAATTTTCATCTTCCTAGTACTAGTAATATAAAACATTTCTTCATATGTTTATTCCATCTGTATTTCCTGTGAAATTTTCTCTTCATATCCTGGTCTATTTTTCTTATAACGTGTCTTTTTAATATTGATTTGTAGCATTTCTAGGCAATACCACTCTTGTAAGTTTCAACTATTTCTTTCTGCTTCCTTTGAACTTTGCTTGTGGGCTTCGAAAAAGGCACCATGGGGGCGCACTGGTTTAAGTGCTGGCCTGCTAACCAGCAGGCTGGCAGTTTGAACCCACCAGCTGTTCTTTGGGATGAAGATGTGGCAGTCTGCCTCTGTAAGAATTTCACCCTGGACGTCACCCGGGACAGTGATTTCCACCTTAGCTTATAGGAGCACTATGAGCCAGGATTAGCTTGATGACAATGGGTTTGGTTTTTGGTCTAATCACCCAAAAGTTTTAAATTTTTATTTACTCAAATATATCAGTCATTTCTTAATTCATTTTCACTTTGTGTCTTCTTTAAAAATACCTTTTCTTACATCTAAGGACATACGTATTTTTAAATATTCTTATATTAAAACTTTTCAGATTTTAAAATAAATTTGGTTCCCTAATTCTCCTGGAATTTAATTTTGTGAATGCTATGATATCAAGGGTCTATTTACAATATTACAAACAGAATACCAGCACAGGCCTGAAAGAGCGAGCGGAGGAGACCGAGAGGCCCACCTTCCGGAGCCCATTGGTTAAGGGTACCAAGGGGATCCCCACCTCCCGCTCTTCATTCCAATCTCCCCGCTGGTATCCCCCTTTGACTCAACCCCAACTATGAGTACAATCGATTGCGATGCTATAGTCCATGTAGACGAGCCTCTTGGGCAAAAGAGTCTAGGTGCAGATCGTTGAAGGAGCAACAGAAAGATGTGCAGCACAGGGGTAAAGAGGAAGTTGACCTATTTCCCCCAGATGGTTAGCGTTGTCCCCAATCTTTTTGAATGGTCTGTACTTTCCTCAGTGGTTTGGTATATCACTTTATCACATAGGCCATTTCCATACAAGTCACTTTTGTTCTGTCGATCTTTTTATCTACTCCTCCATGTGACCCACATCACTTTATAATTTTATGTTATTTTTTATAGCCAGTCATCACCCATTAATGTTGATGTCCATGGCCATTCAAGCAGGGTCACAATGATTCATCAATTCCAGATGAATCATAGAATAAGCCTGTCATGTTCCGTAAGAACTTATACTGGGATATTAAATGGTGTTGTAATGAGTTAATAGTTTAAAGTAAGAAAAATCAGTATCCCAGTGTGATAGGTAGGTTTATTGTGCCAGCATGGTTAATGAACACATGTGGGATTAATTGAAGGGCAGAGAGATAAATGGCTCAGCGAGCCTCACCTTTCTTGTGTCTTGCTCTTTGATGCTCAGTGTGCGGCTGCCTTAGCTTGTTCTCTTCCTCAATTTGCAAGCTTCACTACCTGTGGGACACCTAACCCGTGGACTGTGTCACTGTAGTTTGAGATTCCTTTAAGACCTGCTTTGCCACACTACTGGAGTATACATTGCTTGAGCTGGGGACTGTCAGACCCTGTCATCTGGCTGACTGTTGGTGACCTGCCTTTCTGTTTGCTGCCTGTGCCCGGATAGCCTGAATTGCTCTACAGAGGACTACCTGGTGGCCCTCAAGACTTGAAGGACTGCCAATGTTTCACAACTGTCTCACGGGAGTGAGTTGCACTGAGCCATTTGTACTGCTTTATAGATTAATTAACTGTTTATTTCTTATGTTTTATATGTATCTCTATATCTATAGATATAAAGTCAT